TGAAGAAGCTTGCTAATGTATTGTGAGAAAATACATTTTTCGTGCTGTTTGATTACATGAGATATAACTTTGATAAATCTTTCAAAGATTCTTCATTCATGTATTTAAAGGATAAGGAAGTGGCACCGATGAAATTCCAACGTGGAAACATCGTACAAAACTAGAAAACAAAAGAAACTTTTTTTATGACTTGAACTTTAATTTCGACTAAACGAATACTAAGTATCGTGAGATTCTTCTTTATGTAATCATTAACAAATAGTTTTTGAACTAAAAATCTTGAAAAATGACATTTTTTTCGCGTTCTCATAATTTTGAAAACCCTCACTTTTTTAAATGTCAATATTTTTTTATCATTATACAACGCGAACGCTTACCCACACTTTGTAATTACAACTTTACCTCGCAAAATGCTGTACTCTAAGCGAGTGCAACACTTTGAATCAAAGATAAATAAATTCGGGCGTGCGTAAATAAGTGCACGCTGAAAAAAAAAAGGAAAAAAGGAAAAAAGCACACGCAATTTATGAACCCTCTCGCGTCCGTATCGAGGACTCCGCGGGCGCATAGGTGAATTAACAGTATATCGCGTAACTTTATTAATCGCCATTAAATTTCAATCACGCGGCAGCCCCGTAACCTCGATTCTTCTCTCTCTATCTCTCCCTCTCTCTCCTGTTATCAATCGAGTGACCTATTACACGGCATCGGGCACTTCCTACTCACCGTGTGTCGTTAAAAAAAAGTATAAAACGCGTGAGAGAATTAAGGGCGGTCGAGTTACGCAATAGCGTTCTTTTTAGCGACCTTGCGGACGCGCACGTTGGTTCTTTCATTCATAAAACGAAGATACGTAAATCAGCCGAAGGGTCGGCTTTTATCTTTTGGAGAAAGAAAATGCCAGCAGTTTCTCCAGGACGAGAGAAAAACGTTTATCAAACAGCTGGATGGATTTTTCCAGCGTATATTAAAATGAAGTTACTTTCATATTTATCACGCCCGCGTTGACTTTTTTACGAGCAGTGAATAGAATAAGAAATAGGATCTTTCTCAGTTGTTGAGATAAAGCTACATGTAGAAGCCCGTTGTGCGCCTCAGAATTTCCATGCATTTTAAATTATACGTCCAAAGTATGACGAGGATGAAAAATAAAGAGAAAATTCGTTATTGTGACAAAAGTAATTCACAATTCTTTCTCGTTAGAGCTCGAGCAGCAGCAGAGGCATCAAAAAGCGGTGGTTCCTTCTCGAGATCCCATTGAACTCGCATTATTTTCACTTAATCGGATGTAATTCTCACCAGAGAGAAGAGGCTGTTCGTGTACACACACACGTGTACACAAGTGCTCGAGGGGCCCATTTTTCAAGAAGACTCCCGCGGGTGCTGCAGTCGAAAAACTGCTGCCGCCTGACGATCCCTCGATAAATGCGCTCTCGTGTTTCACGACCAGGCGCACCGAAGTAATAGTGATAATAACGAACGCACTTGATTTTCGTAAATCAATCATCGGAAAAGCTAATTGGAGTGTACGCTCGATCGAAGCTGCTCAAACGCGTGAAAATCGATGCTTTTATCGATCCAATACGAGACAGGGTCAACTCTCCCTATGTTGAGTGAGATAAACGTTTGTTAGGAAATGTCGAGAAGCTTTCACTTGCAAGTGATGTCGATACGCAACGTCTCGGTATCGTAATAGTAAAATTTTTACGACGGGGGTATTCTGGAAGCACGGTAAAATGAGAAGTGACGCTTTACGCTGCCGTACATTGATAGAAATCGGGAAATTTTCAATTTGAAAATCAACCTTCGCTTTTTTTCTGGCAATGAAACGGCTCCAGTTATCCTTTATCGCCGATCACGGTGCGGAGTAACAGGCGTTTTTCACGAGCAGCTCAGCGATGAAAACGCACTGTTGCGCTTGTATTGCAGAACAACAATTAAAGTGATTTAACTCGCCTTCGACTTTTTCAATCGCGGAATATGTGCCACCGGCACGTGTTTAGCGACGCGTTTACGACAGACTGTCAAAAGGAGACATTTGCGAAACAGCAAACTGCACGGTGCGTACAATCGCCGCGCACCACGATTTTCTCCCCCCCCCCCCCCCCCCCAACGGGTTTGGCGATTCGCGTGGCTTTAACGAACCTTTGCTTATTACTACCACGAGGGTGAGTGACAATTGGCATGGATTTGAGCAAGTTAAGCGCGCGGATTACCATCGATAGGCTCCGCACGAGCAGGTTGACGCGTTTCAATTTACGTAATTTAGAAATCGCTGAAATTCATTGTATTTCGAGTCTGCCTACGCGTGGCAGACAGCTGCAACCCCCGCTTCCTGCGTGCGCGGCATCAAATGCACGCGCGTGCACGTAGGCGACGCGTTATACGCGACACATTTACGTCGATTTGCCTGCTTTATGGCTAATTAGATAATTAGAAGCTGTATCGATATTTTCTTTGCGTCGTTTGCGTTGACTCTACGTCGAGACCGGAAATAGTATAATGTATTCGGGTTATTGGTAAATGTATCATTATGCAAAATAATTTGTCTTTACTATTATAGTATTAAATGAAAATTTGAAAACGCTAATTACTCTCTGGATCGGAGGCCGTACGCACAAGCGGTGCAAAAAATTCACTACTCTATAGTTTGAAATTGCGATTTTAATTAATTTTGCGCGAACGTCTAATGCGAATCCAATTAAGAAGCAGTTCCGTTTCCGAATTGAAATTGCAATTTTGCTTTTTCCAGGTGCACAATTCTCCTCTCATTCGTATTGAAGGTATGGCATCTTCATTTACATTTGTATCCGTCAGCAAGGACTGTTCGTCTTGGATTTAGCGCCGAAATAGAGACGTCGCTTCGAAACATTAACGGCCAAGATATACAGCCCGTGGATTTGCCGATATCCTTGCACAACTCAGCCGCGTGAGAGAACGACAGCGGCGGCTCGACGCGAAAAACAGACGCCCGTGCGCTGCTGCTGTATAACGATACGAGTGTCGCGGGCGTGGGCGTTGCGATTGTAATTGCCTCGTTATACAAACACGCCGTGTACATACACGCGCGCCTTATCGGAAGATCGAGAAAACCATTTTTTTCCTTTCAGCGGCAACGCCCCGTAAAGGAAATAATATATGTAGCGAGCGATTTGGAGAAAAATGCAGAGCCGCTTTAATGAAGCCGCGAATACAAGGACGATAAATCAGTGGTGAGCGATCACACTTCCTACTTCTTCGACACCTTATGGACGATATCTTGGCGAGTTAGGCCTTTTTGTGTGTGTCGGCGACTTGGTTAACGATGTGACGGTCGTTCGATGCGGTTGACCAAAAGGCTCAGATCGAAATTTCTGATTTCTATTTGTTGCGTAATTGCTAATGGTAAGAGAGATTTAGTTGAATTTGATTTTGACGTCTTATCGTGAAATCTGGCATTATTATTTTTTATATATATTCCTAAAGACATGCCAAACAGAGTCATAATTTATATCCGCCGGGTCATTCTTGTCGTACCAGTAACGAGTTGTATTTTCTAAACAAAGCACAAAATAACAAACACACTTAATTTTTTACAGAGCATTTTTGTGTACCGCAGCGACACGCGTATCATAAAATGTAAACGAAGACTCTACAGATACATATGTTTCACGATACACGAAGATTATTGGAAACAAATGGGATTAGTATTTATCTTGTTGCAAAAACCATTTAACCCAATCAATTTGTCAAAATGTAAAATAGAGAAAATAAGTAAATTGAATATCTCGTATAAATGGCATCCAATAAAACAAACGCTTCAGGGTCGCACCGATGTAAAACTTAATTGACGCAGTAAAACGTTTTATTATTAAAAACAAAATCACGCACATAAACTTTATAACATTTTTTTATCGTTTTTTTTCTTCCTTTAGTAGCACCTTGCCGCTTCACAAAAACGTTCGCCATTCAATTACACCAAAAATTGTAAAAAGAAAATAAAAAATGAAGCTTTTACAGGCCTAAATAATTCACCGGCTGATTATTGTCTATTAAACCTGGAGAAGCGTAGCGGCTCATCAAAAACAAAACGGAGCGTAATTAACGCGCAGACGTCATTCGCTTGACTGCAGGTCATTAAAGAAATCTCTCTCCCTCTCGTATGTTTATGTGCAGCGAACAGGTGCTTCGTAAATCACCGACGCGACCCCCTAACGGTTATCCGCATCATACGCGATAAAAATCTTACGCGCGAGTCACTACTTGGACACTTTTTTTTTCCGAACATTAAAAGCAGTTACTGAATATTTGCAAGGATCGATGTGTATAAAAAGATTATAAGTAACTAAAAGATTATATGAAAGTTGACTTTTTAATTACGGATGTGCATAGATTACCTACCACAAAAGACAAAGAGCTTTTACTTAATCCAAGAATTTTCGTATCTATCTGGCTGAAACTTCGTCGTTTATCCGCAAAGTTTTATCGTTAAATTTATAGAATGAAAGGGAGATCAAATGTACAGTTTCTTCTTGCAATGTGTATAAGTAAACTTTTCCATTCCATGGGTAATGGAGCGTGAAAAATCGAAGGAAGTTTCGAACATTTGCCCTTTGAAATGTCCATTTACACACAGGCCATGAGTCAGATTCCCATTTTCATCTATATGACACTGCAGGAGGCAGTAAAAATCGATTTTTTGCCTAGAACCCCCAAGTGGTACACTGGCCAAATCACACTCATCGTTAAATCATCTTTAAAAACTCATTAGAATGCCTAGTATTTTAATCAGCCGAAATTGCTATCGCGTAAAAGCAAATTGACACACGCAATAATACTTTTAATGTACACATAAGGTTAAAGTAACCGGACGCAACTTTTTGATCATGAAACAGTAAAGCTCTTATTTGATCGGCGTCCTTTCCCCGTTATCTCATACAAAGCTGTCAGTTCATTATTCGAAAAAAGAAAAGAAAACGGAAAGGCAACGTAAAATAGTACGAATGTCGTTTGTGGCTCACCCGGTGTCGCCGATGTAGTCGAGCATTCGTATCTTGAGCATATCCGTTGGCGTGCAAAAGCAGCAGTGTACGAAGAAGACAAAAAATTAGCCGGATCTGCACCGCACAGAAAACTATCACTGGACACTTTATGCACACACGCACACACGTGAGTCAGCAGCAGCGGCTGTGGCAGCCGGTAAGTTGTCTGCTTTCTAACCTCGTGGCTTCGGAATACAGCTCAAGACGATGACAATCATCTGCCTTGGGTTCGCTCATGATATTATTATCCTCCAGCTATATCGCAACAATATCCCGTTAACGCCTGTCCCGGCACTGATAAAAGTCTCTACTCCTTCGCGGTCGCGCGCTTTGTTATTCGGAACGCCTCCGCGGCTCCGATCACGAAATGTGTGCCGATGACCGCGATACTTTCGCGCGCGCACCAGTGGTTTTATCCGTTTGTGTTCTCTGCTTTCAAAAACGACGATGCGCTGTCTTAGTATCGCAGGCACGACCGAACGCACTTGCTAGACTCGTCTAATCTTCGCGGACTCGAATTTGAAGCGAGGAGAGGCAACGAAACGTAGAAGCACATGCAGATAGTGGAGTAAGTTTATCGCGGTGCGCTCGCCGCGCGTAGACTGGCATCAGTGGCAGCGGAGCCGCTTAGGCCTCCGCAGTGTCTCCCTTCTACTCCGTCAAGCGGCGGCGACCGCCCGCGCCATGTGTAGATATAAACCAGCGAGAGAGAAAGAGAGAGAAAGGTCGCTGCTTGCTGCTGCATGTGTGTTTATTGATGCAACTGCAGCCTACTACCGCTTTATCAATGGCCAAACAAATGCACGTGTCGACCCCGTTGGTTCCTCTTTCTTTTTCTCTTTTCGGAGATGCAGGAAAGATGATGATGCACCGTATTACTTCACGAGCATTCGATTTCCAATGGGGATTATTAGATTGCAGTGGAGACAGCTTCTGATGGCTTGTTATTTTAGGAAATACTGGAAATGTGTCTTGTACTGTTTTGTCTGTTTCTTGTATCTATAATAGGTGCTGAACATCGGGGCTTGTGCTACATTTTTCACACGATGTGTTGCAGGGGGATATCGAGTATTTATCGTTGCCCTGTGTGACCTGTCGTTGTTATTTGGAATAATTAAAAAAAATACAAGATATCTTCTTCATTAATGTGCACGTCTCAGACGTGCACAATGCAAGTCTCGAATAAAATCCTGCAAGAGCTTGCAAGTTTAGTCAAATCTGAATAATTTCGTAAAGGATTAAATTAACTGCGTGATTTGGTTGTGCGCGGCGTATTTTGATTTAAATAGACAATCAGAATCCGAATATTCGTACGGATTGCGCAAAGGCAAGTATAATCTAGCGTTGCACTTCAACTGGAAATCTTTTCCAGCAACTGTTAACAGCGAGGTTGTATAAACTAGGTCAACGTCCTTGAATCCCGAAATAAATTATGAAAACACCAATGAATCCAGCAACTGGTCAGTACTCGCATTAATATTTCCCGTTCCCGTGCGTATACGTCGCACAAATTACATTTGCGCTCGCGCTTATCGGCCATACGTGCGACCGCAACGCCGCTAAAGTTTTTTTACAAACTGCAGCAGCGACATCATCGGCGTATCTCTCTCTCTCTCTCTCTCTCTCTCTCTTTCTCTCTCTCTCTCTTTCTCTCTCTTTCTCTCTCTCGATATCCGTAATCCGAATTACAGCCTGCGCGTTATCGCGCGAGCAAGAACTCGCGAGGCACTATCGACACGCCAGCCAGAAGGCAACAGCGACGTGCGCGCGCGCGTTCGTAGAAACTGGAGTGCGCGGGATATAAGGCGACGAAAGACGAGTGCGCGCGCCAAATTCCTCGAAATGCTTTCGCGCGCGCTCGCCAATCCCGATGCTCTCGCGGGCCATCGCGAGACGTACATGGCAAGGGCTTCTTTCAGCGTGTTTTTCAAACGCTCGTTCACCGTGACAAAATAAAAGCAGACGGGTTGTTGAAAAAAAAAAAAAAAAAAAATCTATCGAAGCAAGCGTTACACTGACGTACCTTGTATTAATGAAACGCGCGCACCCGAGCTTCCTTATGTCAAGTGCGAAGAATCTCTCGAAAAAAAGACCGCACAGTTATGAATATCCCGTGTATGTACCCGCATGACAGCGGTGGTGAACGCCTGGCATAAGAATATATAACGAAGAGAAGAGAAGCACACACGCGAAAGAAGAGACTGGAGTTTTTTTTTTTGTCGATAAGCGCAGGGGAGGAGAGTAATTTCGAGAGAATGGCTTTTAAACGAGAGTGGTCGCGCCGAAACTCCTTCGAATAGTGACCGAGGCTTGTCCAGATAACGGCCGAGTGTTTAAGGAGCCTTTTGTTTAATCAGATGCCGTAAGGTTTTTATACGCGGGAGTCGGAACAGATGTGTCGACGAGCGACTGCGACGTAGGAAGTGGGAGATAAAAAAGAAAATGCGTTCATTCGTGAATTTCTTTTCGGGAATCGCCTTACAGCTTCGTAAAGTAGTTCGTCTGTCTTTCGATTAAGCGGAAAGCGACATTGATCATCGTATGAATCAGTGATTACACAATTGCCATTCCGAGAGTAATTTACGAAGAGCGTCTGATTGTAAGTATCCATCATCGCCACTATTTATCTCTTCTGGAAACACAAAATAATAACTTTCTCTGAATCGTCTTATGCACCGCACATCTTTCGTCGGTATCCTTTTTTTATTTTTTTGCGCGCTCGCGGTGGTTCTCACACGTTGCATTCGAACGAAAAGAGAAAGAGAGAAGAGAGAGAAAGCGAAAAGTATTCTTGTTTTATTTCTGTCGGCATGGCCTGTTCCGCCGCCGAGTAGTTTGTCTGGGAAATCACATCAGCCGAAAGTCCTTACGGTCGTAAATTTAATTGGGCGTTCTTCTAATATCCGCTCGATTCTTCTTCTTGTTCGTTGTGCATAGTATACGACGACAGGTTTGATATACGCTCGTGTTGCTTGATTTAAAGCTGTTTACACGCGTTTACGGTGCAGCTCGCATATATATTTTGTATGCAATTAGCAGATGGAATATATCACGCTGGTCGGTTTTTTCCCGTTAACCACTCAAATGTATTAGGATTTGAAACATATTAGAAACTGATGTAATTCCAAATCAATTTGCGTACTGTGATAACGAATACAATTATTCATGCACTGATGCCATAGAATCGGCGTAAGTGTACTTGGAAGTTCAATATAAAATGCAAAAATTATCCAGTCTTCGGAAAATCCTGTGAATAATTCAAAGGTATATATTCTGGAATAGAACAAAAATCACTTACATTGCAAAAAAAAAGGGTGAAGAAGACGATTGTTCGAGCATCTAAAATTGATAAGAAAAGAAGAGAAAAGAAGTGATATTCCCTTAGTATATCAAGCTGCGATCGATCATTCAGTTCAATTTCAATCTTTACGTGTCAGCAGCCCCTTCATTTCGCATCCGACATGGTATCGCCTTATTCCCACGGGTCAATGAAACTTAGACGCCGCGACCGCTGAGATTCGTTTTTCGGACTATAATTTTCTGCCTTCGTATAATTGGTCTGCTAAATATATACCTACTTTGTCTGTTCCCCTGTCTGTTTCCGATTCTTATGTTGCCAATGCGTAGACAATGGAAAAGTATATGTAATCGACGATTGTGGCACGTTTTCTGACAAAGATTGAAAGAAAAGAAAGCATTTGCATGTTGCGATTGTGTCATTAATTGGCGATGTTTTGTATGAGGCCGAAGAGACGAGAAAAGGGAAAATGTACGTCTGTGTGGCATTTGTGTAAGTTCAGCTTGAACTTCCTTTAAACATGAAAAATCAGCTGGTACATTTTTGTCGAACAGTATTAATTATTTAGTAGTATATAAGACATGTGGAACTGAATAAATTTGCTGTCTTTTTCTCTGCGTACGTTTTATTACTTTAATCAAAGTAGCCTCGTACGTGGGATGTTGAACTGAAAGTACCATGAGATTTTTTTTATTACAGTTGATGTTAGTGTCAACATTATATTGCTTTTTAAGCGATGTCATTTTTGGAATTTACGAAAATATTTACGCAAGAAACGTTGATATTCAAGATTTCACGTGAACTGTAAGACGTCACCTTATCGAATTAAACGTCTATAGATCTATTCGACATTCTGTTGCTGATGTTCTTTTGTTGCAACTCAATAAAAGCACCAAGCTTGCTTTCAACCCCGAGCAATGTGCCTTGCGAACGTTTAACGGCTCCCAAAACCTAATTACAGAACAAACGAGCAAAAAAAAGAAAGGAAAAATCCTGACCCGGTTGCATTAGCGCGCTACGGCATATATAGCGTAGCAGCCGTGAGCGAGCGCCAACAATGCTCGCACAACCAGTTCTAGCTCTTCCCTCTCTCTTTTCCCCCCGCGAAAATTGTTGGGCAGCAGCACAGGCGGCGACTGTATAATCACCACGAGAACGAGAAACTCCTATGTATGCACACTCAATTTTCCTCGAGTACACTGACCTCTCTCTCTCTCTCTCTCTCGCTCTTCGGACAATGCGTCACAGACGCACACGCACACGCACACTACGTCGCAGCTTTTTTTCCTTTCAATCGTGAAATGTCGGTCAACTGGTTTGCAATGGGCTTCTGCGCGTTACTTGATTATTTGGTCATTCTCCTGAACCTAAAGGAGTGAACGGGTGATATCTAGATTTCTATTACTAGGTAATTCCAGCACGTACGCTTTTGTCTTTGGATCGTCATTGTATCGTTTGATTGTCAAAGTCACCATCCAACGTGGGGAAGCTATAGTGTGATTCTTTTGTTATACTGCGCTTTATCGAAATTTTATCGGCGATGAAAAGCTTCATTTGAAATCCAAAAGTGTGAACAGTCATGTATGTCGTCTCCCATATCACTTCTACTACGATGATTAATCAGAATGACGTACGTGATGTAATAATTGAGTCCTTGAAACTTCCTTTTACATTACATTTTATCAGCAACGAGATACGAATGGCCGATAGTAAAAGGACGCGCGCATTGTTACGCACCCGATAAAAAGACTCGTTTGTTAAATTAAGCGGCGTAGGCTGCGAAAATTTCATTCACATGCGTTGTCGGTAGCGTGAACTTGGAAAACTTTACAAAGAAAACGTATAGCTCGGATAATAAATTTGCCTCCTCGCTACGCTTTCAGTGAGTACCAGCACAATAGGTTTTCTCTCGTTCCAAATATATATCCACGCGCGCAAAAAAGAAAAACAAAAAAACAAAAAAAAGCAACGAAGCTTTTTGGTGAAACAGTCATTTATCTTCGCCGGAGTCTATCGGTCAGTATTCCAGAAACGCCTCGGCTCTTTTACGCACGAAATCCCGATTTATTCCTTCTTCTCTTTTCTCGAGGCTCGTTTACAATCCGTCCTCGTTCAAGCTTGCACGTTATTGACGTAAGAACGCCTTTATCTCAATTATTTTGAACTTTCATTTAATCATCTTTGCAGA